CCGCGACTGTCTACGCCTTCTATGCCAACTCAGACTTGTACCATCGATCTATGGGACACAAGGCAAGCGAAGAGACATGACATCAGCGGTTAGGACATCCCGGCAACTCACAACTCTTCGACATGATTCGCGCGAACTTTCTGGACAAGGACGCTCTCCTACTCCTCAACGAGTGTGAACTACAACGGCCTCGATGCACCGATTTCATCTGTCCCGCCTCGTCAACCATTCTCGTCGCATCATAGCCCCAGCGCAGTTGAGTATACTCCTCTCGAGAAAGTATACAGTGACATACTGTACATCAAGTGCAAAGTCGGCCGAGCCGACCTAAACTACGCCATCACCTTCGTCAATGCCGCCACGCAGTACACCTGGCATCTTAACCTGCCATCACGGGACCTCGCCTTTCTGCCTTCGTCGCATGGCTTGCTGTAGCAGAACGAGAGGGAGACGTAAAGCTGAAACGTTTTCAATCAGACGGGGCGATGGAATACCAGTCACAGCAATTCAAGGACTACCTTGCTGAGAGTGGCATCAAGAGGCTCGTCACGCTCTCCTATGCTCATCCACAGAATGGTGTAGCAGAGAGGATTAACACGACCCTCTAGAACCCCATGTGAAAGCTGCTGATCGGCATGCGCCTGCCCAACTCACATTGGCCGGAGGCGATGAATCACGCTGTCATGCTGTAGAATCTTTTGTCGTTAAGCTCCCTGCCAAACAATGCATCACTGCATGTGCTGTGGACAGGGAAGGAGGGCAGTACATAATTGTTACGAGTTTTCGGCTGCATGGTACAGTACCGACCGCACACTGCATGAGCTGGACAGTTTTTGCAGCGGGCCAGATGGGGACTACACCTCGTTGTGGAAAAACATTACAAGGCATGGAATTTTTTCAACGTGGAAGACAAGGAAACAGTACCGGCACGTGATGTGATTTTCTATGAGAACCTCACCCTCAACCATTACCTCGAGAACATCGCCACCAATCAGGATCCTTTAGGTGGCTTCGCTGGCGCACGCGCGTTTGCCTCGACAGACGAAGAAGCTGACTGGACCAGCAGACTATCCCGGACGCGTCAACAGCTACAGGACCACTACCTTACTGTTCAGTCGGCATGGCGATGGACGACGACAACCCTTGCGAAAGCGCGAACACAGAGGCATATTACCATTTCACCACATCAATTATGTAACACCCACAGTATCAACACCAATGTTTCAGAGAGAGTTGGACCATGTTTAATACCTTATCCTGAAGCAGGAGACAAAGCAGACTATCCCGAGGAGCCGACCATTCCCCGCTACACCAAAACTGGCCTACATATTCTCGGACTCGTAGCAGCCGTGCATGCACCGTCCTTGCCACCGCCAATCGAGGAGCCGAAGACTTTTAAAAGGGCTCTGGAGGGACCGCACACGGGAAAATGGAGGGAGGCAATGTATCGGGAGTTAGTGGCATTACACGAGCAGAACACTTGGATGTTAATTTTGATGTCTCAAACGGCGAGAAAGACAATTCTCTCGAGAAAATGGGTATTCCGTGTGAAGACAAAGGCGGATGGGACCAGCAAACGCTTCAAGGCTCGTGGGGTGGTGTGCGGATTTGACCAGCAGCACGGCAGAGACTACACCGAGACCTTCGCTTCCGTCAGTCACCACACATCCCTTCGAATCCTCACTGTCGCTGCCGCCTGCAAGCTCCCTCTGAGCCAGATCGATGTCGCCACAGCGTTCCTCTACGCCCCCGTCGATGCTGATATCTTCATTGAGCAGCCCCACACGTATGTTGACGACCCCACACTGGTGTGTCAACTCGTCAAATCCCTTTATGAGATCAAGCAGGCTCCACGCCTATGGCAGCAGTACCTGCATCGCATCCTCACTGCCATAGGCTTCGCCCAGCTGCCCCACGACCAGGGCATGTACCGCCTCTCATGTAGCGGCGACTACGTGCTACTCATCGTCTACGTAGATGACCTGCTCTACGTCGGCTCCACCACCTCCATTACCGTCTGGTTCAAAGGGGAGCTAGAGCTCCAGCTAACCATGACGGTGTTGCCGACCGTAACGCAGTATCTCAGCCTCAACATCTCCGATGGCCTCGACACAATCCACCTATTGGCTTCGAAGTACGCCGAGTCTATCGCATGGCGGTTTGCCCTCTCTCCGATGCCCCTCGCTACTCCGTACCTTGACGGGCAGCCAACTCCCGCATCGTCCGCCTTGCTGCTCGCATCAGTCAAAATCCAAGTATACCAGCAGAAGTTGGGTTGTCTGCTATTCGCCACCCTCACCTGCCATCCTGATCTCTCCTACGCTGCCAGTCAGCTCACCACGTACCTTAAGTAGCCTGAAGGGGGGAATTTGCAGGAACTAGATCGCGCGCTCCACTACTTTACTTCGACCCCAACGACCGGCCTGAACTAACACAAGAACGCCGCTACCAAGACGGAACTTATCAGCTAGGTTGATGCCGATCACGCCAGCGACCAAGGCAACAAGCGCTCTCGCACCGGCTACGTCTATCGCATGGAGCCTATCGGCACTATCTCCTGGCACTCGGGAAAACAAGAACTAATCGCCCTCTCATCTGCTGAAGGTGAACATATCGCCCTCTGCATAGCTACAGAGGAAGGACTTCACTTGCGTGAACTGCTCGAAGAAGCGAAGATTGCCGAGTTACCAAGCTTCTCCCTTTTCTGCGACAACCAATCGGCAATCACAATCGCCAACAAAAATGGATTCGCAAACAGGACGAAGCACATCTCGCTTCGCTACTTCTTCGTGAAGGACGAGATCAAACAGGGACGACTCCAATTGGCCCACTGCCCCACCACCGAAATGGCAGTCGACTACTTGACCAAGAAGCTGATGAATTCGAAGTTCCAGTATTGCATGCTGCTGGCTGGACTGCAACACGTCAGCAAACTCGACCACATCGACACTCCAGAAATGAAGGAGGGTGTTGGAAATGATAAATGGACTTGAGCACATTTCAGGAGTCTCGCGTGATGTAACAATACGCGAAGACCACAACATCGAGGACCAACGAGTCAAACTCTGCTACAGTGTTTCCGACGGTTGTTGAATGTTGTCGACCCTCTCGGAGGTTACGAAAGGGCAACGGTCGCAGACTATCGACCGTGCAACCCAATAGCCAGCAGTCAAGATGGCACGACATCAAGGACAAATGACTGTCCTAGTATTACAGCATGGGTGGTTACTCGAGTCGCCCTTATTGAGTTGTAAAGGGACTGTACCCCTCGAAGTGCATAATTAGTTAGACTCTTCGTATTCTCTTGTATCATTATATAATCTTTGTATCCCTTTGCTATAATCAATCAATTGTTGTCACATACCAGTACAAGGATTCATCAAGACTTACGCTGTGCTATCAAGCACTCTGTTACAAAGACTTAGTCTTCTAAAATGATCCTAAGGCTATTCTTAGCCCAACAGATCACAACATCGAGGACCAACAAGTCAAACCCTGCTATAGTACCTCCAACGGTTAACGTAGGTTGACGACACCTCGAAGAGGTTACAAAAGGGTGACGGTTGTAGATCGTTGACCGTGCAACCCAGCAGGCAGAAGTATAAGAGTCAAGTCAGCACGACAGCAAGGACAAATAACCATCCTGGTATTACAACACGGGTGGTTACCCGAGTCGCTCTTATCGAGTCGTAAAAGGGAATGTACCCCTCGAAGTGCATAATCAGTTAGACTCTTTGTGTTCTCTTGTATCATTATATAAACCCTGGTATCCCTTTGCTAAAATCAATCACTTGTTCTCACATACCATTACAAGGGTTCACTCAAGACTTCCGCTGTGCTATCAAGCACTCTGTTATAAGGACTTAGTTTTCTGAAAAGATCCTAAGGCTATTCTCAGCCCAACATGGTCTGAGAGCTAGTCAAAAACTACGTTCCCGTTCGAATTTTCGTCAGTGAGTTTCTAACTTTGCTACTGCATCACTCGCAACAACTCCATTCTCATTTGAATCAAAGATTACAAGACATGGCACACTCCAAGGGGGGAGGATCCTCTACTGGAACTCTGGCTACAAGCGATATGCGCCTCCAGTCTTTGACCTACAGATTGAGGCAGGCACTCATCAAGATGCTGCGCAAGGCGCAACTGCAAGAACCTCCACAAATCCAGTGGCTTCCTCCTCGGGCATTGACCGGGCCTTCGTGGAGAAGTCCTTCTCCTTCATATCAACCTACCAGCAGCCTTCAGCACCCGCTCAGTTGACACTCAGCAACAGCGTTAGCGGCCCAGTACCGATGAGCCTTCACGGCTCATTCTACGCAAGAAGCAACCAGCCTACTCAGCATCAATCTTACCAGCCTTTGCCCGGCTCCTTCACGTTCCTGCCAACTCCAGCGGCAGCAGTGGACTCAGAAGCAAGCGACAAACCAACTGACATTCTCAACATTCAGCAGCAATTCAAAAACATACTCAAGCTACAAACATTCTTTCCCTGCAACAGCAAGGACTTCTTTACCCGGAGCTTCGAGTTCAAGCTGCTGATGGATGGCACGCAGATCCTCGGGTACTTCACCGGCTCTTGGACATTCCCTGTCAACGGGACTATTCAAGAAAAGAAATTTACACTTATCAATCGCTGATGGCCTTCATCATCGTGCAGAACAATAGAGCAACAGAGCATCCGCACATATCGCAACTTCGGGAACTCAGTTGAGCTCGCCTATTGTTATCTGACGAGTGTCTACCAAGCCTCAGACAGTGTGACTCAAAGCCGACTGATGGCACAACTCAGAAAAATTCAGATGCAAGCAGGGGATGCAATTCAGATGGAGAGAAGGTGATGACATACATCAATTACTGCAGGGGATTGCGCGACAGACTCTTAAGAAGTGGCGGGCACTTATCCGAAGATTCCTTCATAACAATCATCCTCGCTGGCCTCGGTCATCAGTGGCGTACAACGTGCTCCCTCTTTCGGGCTCACGGGAGAATCTCTGGGATGCATCTATGCGCGGAGCTCCATGCCGAGCAGCAAGACATGGACCTATACGAGGAACGCCACGCAAAGAAACCAACAACAACAACAACAACAACAACAACAACAACAACAACAACAACAACAACAACAACAACAACAACAACAACAACAACAACAACAACAACAACAACAACAACAACAACAACAACAACAACAGCAACAAGAGCAACAACAGCAACAACAGCAGCAACAACAGCAGCAACAACAGCAGCAACAACAGAAGCAACAACAGCAGCAACAACACCAACAACAACAACAACAACAACAACAACAACAACAACAACAACAACAACAACAACAACAACAACAACAACAACAACAACAACAACAACAACAACAACAACAACAACAACAACAACAACAACAACAACAACAACAACAACAACAATAATGCACACAAGAAACGACACTTACCTCCGTTCTGTCATCTCTGACGAACGTTGGCACCCTCGCACTTCAACTGTCCTAGGCAGCAGCAGCGGCATCACCAGCATCAGCAGCCGCAACCTTAGCAGTATCAGCCTCGAGCTCCTCGTCCGTCTCCGAGTCTGGTCGCCTTGACTCAACAACGCCCGCCAACTTCGACGAATCGCTCTGCACAAGACGCAAGAAATGTCGTTAGCTGCATGGCGCGGGACGACTACTGTGTATCTGACTCTCTGCCTCACCGCGACCTCGACGAGCCACTATTTTGCCGACCATTTCGCCGACCTTCATCGTCAGCACTGACGTGCTCGCTGCTGCCTCTAACAGCTCAGGTATAGTATTTTCTTCGGTTTCTGCACGGCTACTAAACCGGAGTTCTTCAGGGCGTTTCACACGGTTCTAGGGCATATCTTGATGCCGCGCTCTAATTCTACAAGTTTTGCGGCTTCTATGCTAGACTTCGCATGGCCAGAAGTGACGGCTCGCACCAGTGAGCGCCTATCACGAACCGAGAGTATGCACGGTTGGCCGTTCCTAGGAACAATCGGCCTGACCGCTAGGCTGCTCGTGCGTTGGGAGGCATCGTGTGCGTATTTCTGTACCGTGCTCTTCCCTATTCCTAATGCTTTAGCGATTTGATGAAGACTCTGGCCCTGTCGAAGCAGTGTCGCAATCCTATCTTTCTGGCTCGAAAGAAGCGGTCGCATCGTCGCTGGGGGGTTGGCGTAGTTGCCGCTGTACTATCGAGAGAAAAATGGAAGCGTAGGTTGTGAGGATGCGTAATGCAGGTAGGAAATAGATCTGGAATCGATGTTGACCTAAAGTGTCTGCATCGAGTAACGATCGCTTATTATTGTACTCTTTACAATAAACTCGATAAAAGTTACAACACCCAAGTGCATTGAGTAGCTGAGGTCAGGAGGCACAGTATGCAATCTGTTATGGTTGGGTTTTGACAACATATCATGCCCGAATCACAAAGTTTATGTACTGCAGCGGATTAATAAGCCCATTTATTTCCGTCACTGTAGCTCTGATACCAGCTGTTATGATAATCTCCGGATAGGAGTCGGGTTATGCAATAGTGAGGTCGTAATTAACGTGTCAAGTACAAATAAAGCATAGGGCTAAATACGAGCACAGCTAGCCAGGGAGCCTCGAGGAAGGTCACAAAACACACGCGAGGTGGTTTGGGGCATCTCAGGACTCGGAAGTGTCGGACGTGACGCCGCGTGTAGGCTTGGGGATCTTGAATGTAGTTCGGACCTGAGTTGTCGAGCCGAGACTAGACTTCTGAAAGTCAGGGCTGTACTCAATGTTAGCGAGGCTTGATAAGGAAAAAGGATTTTCCTTACACGTATGTTGAAATCCTTTTTTCTCGCCACAAACTGTATTGATCATCACGTGCATTGTTTTGAATAATAACTGAGAGTGTGCGGAATAATATAGACGAGTACAAAAATGAGAACCTAGCAATATATAGCAAGAGTCGTAGCTAGGCGAGGACCCTGGGGGGCTAGGTTGGGTATAAGCGCGGTCTAAAGGTCTGGGTCGGCGCAAGCCAGCCTCGGGGTTGCGTTGGATTCGGACCGAGCCTGGTCTTCCGAGAGTTGGGGTGTACGCGATGCAGCACAAATTGGTAAGGAATAAAATTCCTTAGGGCGTATCCAGCGCGTTCATTTTGCCTTAACACATTTTTTTTAACGTTCTTTGTACATGTTCGAAATATTGTTCTGGCGAGTGTACATGTCGCGAGGCTTACAGTACCTTGGCTCGGCATTGTGTCTCGCCTTTGACACGAAAAATGCTATGTGCAGCAAAAAACCAAAAAAGCTTGGCGAAACCAGCTGAGTTATCATATTACGAGCCTGGTAAAGGAGGCCTCGCTATTGTTTCCATTGAAGAAGTTGCACGAAAATGACGAAGTGGCGTGTTTTTTCTTTTCGCCCAACAGAATATGTCGTTTCTGGCGGGAGTTCATTTCGGGCACGATTTCCGGCCGCTTTCGTGACGTGCGCAATACGACTTGAAAGCGTGCTTGCAAGCCCCATCGCAAGCCCTCTTTTGGTAATGAATTCCGCCTCCCTTGTGAGAGGAATTCAGAAGTGCCCTTCGCCTGCTCGTTCAAGCCACCACCTTGACGTGTGGTCCTGCGCAATCCCCATCAACTCCTCCATGGCTTGGACGATACGAGTGCACAGCCCATTGACTCAGTTCCCCCACCACGATTCTCATTACGTCATTCCTCCTCATGACGCAACTAGTAAGAAATTGTGCTTCCAGTGGACGTGGCGACATCGCGGAAAAGTAAAGTGCAAAACGTCATGGAAAAGTGACGAAACCATGGGTTTCCAGATAGGGGTGCGGGGTAGCTTTTAGGTGAAGGTTAAAAGTCCCTTCCAGGATGTCACATTGGATGTCATGGAAAAGGCACATTTTCGATGCTTGCGCGTAGCTTTTATGTCCGTGAAGAGTGGCGCCCCTGTCAACCAATTGGCAACAGGAATGTAACCCCTACCACGTCACGCTTGGGCCAACACCACGAGCGTGGCGTAAATGTGAGTTTTGCGTCCCGCCATGGTCACTTTTATGCATCGGGGATAGATGCCACGTGGCGGCATTTACCAGCCACAAGGAGCACAAGTACACTAGTGCTTGTCGGACAAATGTTCCAGTGCATGCGGTCGCCTACATGAACGAGCGGACAGTCCAACTGTGCGCACTTAGCCAGCAATTCGCTAGCATCACGCACCAGGCATGTTGTCGATTCACGCGCGACATCCAGAATAGTTGACCACCGAGGCCTTCCAGCCGTTGGATGCCTCTTTGGATGCTCAAGTGGCAGAACTCCTATGCACGCGTCACAAGCCTTCCACCCTGGGAACTGGTCCACCCAAGTGTACGCGGATCGCGCAACCCCATCATTACGCATATGCTACAACTGTGTGCCACTTGGTGGATATCGAGGGCACAGCGCAAGCCCCAAAGTCCGTGTCGCTACCAACTGTACGCCAATTACGCATGCAATACGCAGCATCGACGACACAGCGTTTGCCGTACGGACTGCCCAGATTGCGGCCCACTGGACCGATCACACGACAAAGCGACAAGTGTACGGCGACCGACGTCCCCTGCACGCATCAGCGGATGCGGGCGTCGACATATGTACGGGGACAATGCAGGCGCGCTCCGATCTACGAGCCAGCGTGTGGTGCGGCGCGCGGTGTGGCAACGAATACGTGAGCACATCTCCGGCATATCGCCAAATGCGGCACGTCACATAGCGCACATTTGGTTCGGACAAAAACTGCACCGTATAAAAACATGGCAATGACTTGAAAAAACGTCATAAAATGCATTCCAGCACACAATGCCGGGGCCACATTGTACACAGACTTTCCCAAGACCTGCAACCCCCGTACATTATACCACTGACGTCGTCCATGACACTACATTCATGCATATAATATGGCAAACATATACGGGAGATGGCATTGCACAAAACACATGTGTCCGTTCCTTCATCCGTGCATGCCGCGACTCCATCTCATGTGTAGTGGCGGGGCCGACGCCGTCTTCCTTGGGACACTCAGTCATCGTTGTCGGATGATGTGGATGGTGCATCGGTGGCCTCCGCTGCCTGCACCCCGCCGTGGAACTTGGGCTTCAGATTGTCGAGGCCGCACACTGACAGCCGTAGGCCATGGCGGCCCCACGCCCACGAGTCGCGCGCGGGGTCGTATTCCGGCGCGTGTGCATCAATGGCCTCTGCGACCACCTCGTATGAGAGGGCATGGAGCCGGCCCATGTCAGCCACAATGTCACTGGCCGAACTGGACAAGCCGGGCCTGCGGGAGTCCCAGTTAAGGATGGCGTCGTCGACTTGCGATTTGCGAAAGAGCCACTTTCAGAAATCGTCACACATGCTTGTATGCCTCGTTCATATAACACACTCACCACGTGCTCCAACCATGCACAGTGGTACAGCTTCAGCGTTAGCGGGCCGGGGGCTTTCTTCGGCTTGTATGCCGCGTGGGCGCATGCCATGAAGGCTCCAGACACGTACGGCAACTTCTCACGCTTGGCGATGTGCCACCTCGACAGCGCCATAACCCTGCGCACAGAGCGACATGTAGGCCAAGGTTCAGGCATATCGCCATCCCGTGGTGAGTCGCAACAAGGCGTGCACACGCCAACAAATGACTGTGCACTCACCATCGTCTCCCATGGTGGGACCGTAGCACGACATGACCTTGTCGATAGGCAGCAAAACACATTGAGCATCGAGATCCTTCATCTTCTTGAGCTTCTCTTTCATCTTCAGCAAGGTCTTGAAGTCGTTGCGAAAACTTTTTACAGCCAATGTTGTCCACCCTTTGAATGTTTCGGGGATTGGAGAGGTGCCGGCAGCCTCCACCATGATGCTTGGACGACTTGTCGACGGGCCGGCGGGATGAGCTTCAGCTTGCTTGCTTGGTAGAGTAGGTTCGCAGGTCAATGCCACTTGAGGGATTTTCTTCCCAGCTCCAGATCGCCTAGCGTATCTTGCAGAGTGAGACGAGCATCCCTCCGCGTGAGCGCACTTAACCGAGCTATGACCACTTGCACCGGCTTCTTCCTTGTCAGATGGAATCCAATTGAAGTCTCACGGGTGGTCGTCACTCATGGTATTGGGAAGAGTAGCAGTGCAAAGCCAGTCACTTGAGCAGAAAGAAAGAGTAAAAATTTTAGGCAAGAGAATTGCTCGAAAAATCTTTCACTCAAATTTACCAACTCGTGGCTGCTGTTATAATTAGTTGCGCGCAATTGCAGAAACTCTTTTGCCATCTACAGCCAGGCCAGAGCTGCTTTCCTTGGCTGCTGCGTAACTAATCACTATCAGAGCCTGTCCCTTGCGTCCTGTCTTGCAGTCAGATTCTTTCTCGTCGACCACAGCAGCGAGCTTGCAGCCTAACCCCTGGAGAAGCCACAACGTGCCTGGAGGCTGCCACGGCACGACGTTACTGTTGACTTGCTGCCTGGTTTGAGGGCCTTTCT